TTGTTACATTTTTTTACTAGTTAAAAAATGAAAAATATTTGTACTAGTTAAACAATAGGCTGCTTCTAAAGGAGGTGTTGCACTATATAATATAAGTATTATTATACGCTTGAAGAAAAAATTTAATTTTTCCGTGATTTTTGACAGACTGTATTTAGGTGAAAAATGGTCGTAATAAAAAAAAAGAATTTTGAAGCTCTAAGATTCCAGTTTTTAGGTCTTTCGGTCGAATTTTTTTAGGAGTTACGTTTATCATGCAATTCTAAGAAATAGCGCGACAAAAGAATTTTGCAAAATTTTTTTTCTAGTCCACGGACTTAGAAATATTTTTTCAGCTAAGCCATTGCATGGACCAGATAGCTTGTTTATACAGCTTCAATTTCTTTTTTTTTTAATTTCGATGCGACCATTTTTCATCGAACTTTCAAAACTGTCAAAAGTTGACTGTTTCAAACAAAGAAACGATTCGCTAGATCGAGATGAAATTTCACAGGGTTCTTTTGGGTATATCGAACTGTAAAAATAATGCTTTATATTAGTCATTTCTAAAAAACTATAAATTACCCTTTTTTCCTGTTTTTTTAAAATTCGTGTAAAATGTTATAGGAAATTTATTCCAGTTTTCGAAACTGCCCTTCAATTCTCTGTACGACCATTTGTCGCCGAGATATCGATTATTGAAGACAAAAGGATTCTCTTCCATTAAAAGTTCGATATTTCGATGAAAAATGGTGATATCGAAATTAAAAAAAAAAAGGAAAAAGCTTTCTGACTCATGCAATGGCTTAGCCATAGTCCGTGGAGTCAGAAAAAAAAAATTTTCGTCGATCTAAAAAACTAGAATCTTAGAGCTTAAAAATGCTTTTTTTTTAATTCCCGATACGACCATTTTTCACCTAAATACAATCTATCAAATATCACGGAAAAATTTCGGAATTTCTTTTGACCCTTTAATTTTTTGCATTAGTTTATTAATTATTTAATCATAATTAAATAATTATTAAGTATATTTTGTTTAATCTTCTATTAAATCTATAAGGTTAAATAAAATATATAATAATTTTGTACTGTATAAACAGATAACAATAAGATTAGATTTTTTGCAAAATGCATTGAGAATTAGTCAAAATGCTAAGTTAGTGAATATTAAATTTTATGTTACCTATTTTATTTTCACGAAAAAGTTGTTTCTGGATTAAGTGCCGTGAACATATTTTAATGAAACCTTGGAGATACGAACTTCACATTCCTACCTACAATTCAAGCAATTATATAAGATAATGTAAAATTGAACACAATTTTTATTTTCCTGCTATATTTTGTGAATATTATTGAACAAACATAAAAATAAAATGTAAAAATATGTTTGTTTTAGAAAACTGTCATTAAAAGTTGGCTTTTACATAACGTGGCCATTTATTTTTTACCTCAGAGCGAGACGTCCTTAAATTATTATTATTATAAAAATAAAACACATGTTTTATACTATAGTTACGAATATTTTATTATACTTTATTACATTTAATATACAGGTATTCAATTTATTATTATATTATATTTTATAAAGAATATTTTATAATATTATTACTTATGAAATGTTTAATGATTAAAAATGAAAATAAGAACTAATCCTGTGCTGTTTGGTGGGCTGGCATTTTATATTTTTCGGATGAGCAAATTTTCTTTAGTATATCAGGTTTACTTTTTAAATATGAATGGAATTGTTGGTATAACTTGTTGACGTTACCCTTTGTTATCAAAATGGCTTTTCACACTGGGACTCCTATAGTCTGTTTGGAAATGAAAGAGAGTAATAAAACCCCGAGATAAGAACCGGCCATGGGCGTGGTAATATTTCGTTTCAGGTAATTATCGGGTAACACTAATGCTAACAAAAATGACAGGGATTGGAAAATCGACTATCTACAGACTTTTAAAGGAAACAAAAAATGAACAAGATACTGTAAATCCCCCAAAATCATCTACAGGGAGGTCAAAAGTCGTTATAGATGATTTCTTCAAAAATGTCATTCGCAGAAAAGTACACTCATTTTATTTTAAAAAAGAAATACCAACGCTAAACAAAATTTTAAGTGAACTTTCAGAGGACAACGATTTGCCAAAAATCAGTAGAAGCAAATTATGGGCCGTCTTACGAGAGTTGAATTTTTGCTGGGAAAAGCAGAACAGGAAGTCAGTTCTTATCGATAAAGATGAAATTATTTGTTGGCGAAGATCCTACTTAAGATCAATTAGAAAATTCCGTGACGAAGGGAGGAATATTTATTATCTAGACGAAACTTGGGTCAACGAGGGATATACTGTAACAAAAGTATGGCAAGATAAAAATGTAAAAAGTTTTCGACAAGCATTTTTGGATGGACTTTCAACAGGGTTCAAGGCACCTTCAGGTAAAGGGCGAAGATTAATAGTGACACATATAGGTAGTGCCAGTGGTTTTGTAGATGGCGGTTTACTTTTATTTGAATCTAAAAATACAGGTGACTATCACGAAGACATGAACGCAGATGTTTTCGAAGAGTATTTTACACAGATGTTGGATCTTATTCCTCCGGGGTCTGTAATTGTCATGGATAATGCCAGTTACCATTCACGGCAGACCGAGCGGACGCCTACGACTGCTTGGAGGAAAGCCGATATAATTCAATGGTTATCCGGAAAAAACATTTCTTTTGAAACAAATATGGTGAAAAAGGAACTTTTGACACTTGTCAATCTTAATAAAGATCAGAAAAAATATGTTATCGATGAAATGGCAACAAATCGCCAAATAACGGTACTACGGTTACCACCTTATCACTGTGAACTTAACCCAATCGAATTAGTCTGGGCGCAGGTAAAAGGAGATGTAGCGCGAAATAATACGACGTTTAAATTAAGTGACGTGAAAATTTTGTTAAAAAATTCCTTGGAACGAGTAACTGCAGATAACTGGCAAAGATGTATACATCATGTACAAAAAGAAGAGGAGAAAATGTGGGAACTCGATAATTTAATTGACGTTACTGTGGAACCTATCGTTATCAATCTAGGAGACGAAGATAATTCATCAGAATATTCAGAGGATGAATTTTAATATACCTACTTTTTTATTTTCTTTATTGTACATTTATACAACACTACATTTACTCACCATAATTTGAATTTTCAAAATACATATATTTTTGTGTGGAATAAAAGTCTATTCATTAAATTTAAATAAATATTTTGATAATAATATTGAATAATTTTATTTGAATTACTAAAAACCCTCTTAACCCGGTTATGATGCTTAAAGTAGCCTCATGTTTTGAAATGCTGTTTTTATATTGTTTACTTATAAGAGAAATGGACCGAGAAATTGAAGCGGCATAGACAAAGACGGATTGTCGGGGATTAAATTTTAGCTACCTGCTACAATTTAGTACAGTCCCATCGCACAAAGTTTTTTTAAAAGTACACCTCACCCTATACCGATAATACATAATATAAAAATATTGAATATAAGCACCAGTACTACATTTATTTACGATTTGCATACATAATAAGCTTTTATTACTCTCTTTCATTTCTAAACAGACTATAATTGTGTTTTTTCACTAATCCAAACTTTATTCATATGGGAAAACACTCTTTCAACTGGAGCGTTACTGCCAGGCAGACAAAATGTACTTAATTATGTTATAATAATATCCTCGTTTAATAAACATACACCACTTTTAACTTTTATTTTCAAGAAAAACACATACAACGTACTCTGGTAACGTAATTCGTAATACCATTCTATCATAGATCATAGAAAACAATAATCATACTAGTGACAAGTGATACCAACATAACATTTTTCTAACAATTATTATACAAAAATTCGTGTATTTGAGGTTATTAGTTTGAACGTATGTCTTTACTAGGCCAATATTTGTCAAAACATACCATTTGAACTAGTGTGTTATTCGGTGTGTGATTGTTCGCTCAGGGGCGGTAAGTAAGAATATATAAAAGAACTACCAGCACTTCAACATGTTAACCATGCGGACAATTGGTAAGTATACACACTATATTATGTATTTAGAAATATTTGAGGAGATATTTGTCATATTACATCGTGCATATAACGAAACTGGTCACTGTGCATGTTGGCCAAATAATCTGCAATATTTGACACATTTATGTTTGACTAATATTTAGCGAATGACCACATCTCCTGGAGCCGGACGTAAACCTACCAAAGAGTAGTGTCGTTGTAATCCCGAGAACAAAATATGTAAAACATACAGGGTGTTCTATAAAAAAAAACAGATTATTCTGTCTTTAAAATGCGATGTGGTTTGTTATTTTTATAAAAGATGAATTAATCTTTATATACTAATGAATATTTTACCCTTTACTTTCCTAATATCTTCCAAGATAACGAAGTGACAGCGGAGGGTACTATTTTTATAAATATTTCCAAATAAAAATGTCAGTTTTCTATATTACTGAGGTTTAAAAAAAACTATCGTCAATTTACTTTCATAGGAGTTAATTTATTTAATTTAAAATAACAACCATATATCAAACATGTCAAACAATATAAGTTACAATTTTTTTTTGAAGGATAATAGCTAGTCTCCCACGTTTTATATGTAACACCTTATGCAATAAATAAATAAAATCGTATTAATATTAACTAGATAGATGTTAAATACATTTTCTGCAGTATATCATTTCATTAACTTTATTCAAATTGATTTGAAAACGGAATTTTAAAGGATACCGAACGTATTTTTTTCAGCAAAATGCGGAAAACATCGAGCGGTCAGTGTCTTCAGCGTTTCATCAGACGTCCTTGCCGCAGTCAATACAAGAACCGCAATAAAATTTAATATTCCAAAGTCAACAACTCTACCGAATATCTGTTCGGGCGGTCATAAAAAACTACGCTACACAGATAGCCCTTTGGGCGTGGTGCCTCTATATATACCATTCAAAACAACAAACGTCACAGTTTGCGAGTGCTGGTACACAACAGTAGCGCTAGTCCGACATGAAGTTATTCATCGTCTCCGTTCTTGTAGCCGTGGCGACCGCCAAACCCTCAGGGATCCTGGCTCCGCTGACTTACTCAGCCCCAGTAGCCGTGGCAGCTATTTCAACCCCTGTGGCGACGCAGTACCACTCCCAGGATGAGCTAGGGCAGTACTCCTACGGTTACTCAAACGCCCAATCAGCTAAAGCTGAAGCGAGGGCCGCTAATGGGCTTACGGTTGGCGGATACACCTACGTGGATCCAGAAGGAAAGCTGCAAAGCGTCGAGTATTCTTCCGACGCGAACGGTTTCCGAGTCGCTGCATCTAATCTTCCGGTACCACCAGCGGTACCAGTAGCGCCCGTACTTCCGGTGCCGGTTCCCGTTCAAGACACCCCCGAGGTGGTTGAAGCTAGGGCCAAGCATCTGGAGGCCGTTGAGGCTTTTAAGGTAAACAATTCTATCCTTTGTCATTTTTCAAATATAAAGTCAATTATTTAGTCTAAGTAGTCTTTAAATTTATAACTGCATAATAGTCCTGGAAAATAAGGAAAAAATGAGCGAACTCTTTTACTCAGAGATTTTTTTTATAGAATAGTATAGGTTTTGAGATCAGACATACTCAACCACCAGCTACATACAGTGTTTTGATATAATTATATCTAATGTATATACGGGGTGTTTTACAAAGACCTCCCGTAAATTCAGGGGCTGATAGTACGACAAAAAATAAGAATTTTTTTGTCATATGAACTATATGTCTATCTCCTCTTGTTTTCGAGATACAGAGCGACAAATTAAAATTTTTTAAATAGAATTTTTTCAAAAATTTCCAAACGGTGCGAAATATTTTTATGAAATTTGGTATTCCGGGGTTTTTAAGGATGCCAAATACGCTGGTGTAATTATTTTTTGTATGTTTTATAGAGGGCTCTAGTTATGCTACATTCGTATTACATTTTAAGTTCTAATTTTTTTGAGGTTAGGTTCCAATTCGGGCTCCAATTTCTAATGTACAATTTTATTTTCTAAAAATAGTGTACTCTTGTTAGAACTTCCTAATGTGGACGATTTTCGAGAAAAAAAGACTTTTAATTGAACTTTTACAATAGAATGTAGAAAATAAGTTACTTTTCTGAAAGTAGGCTTATGTCAAAACTTATTGATGGATAAACAACGCATACATTCGCAGTAATATTTGAAACTCTAATGAACTTTATATCAAAATTTTAGTGACTGTTAGTCATTACTAACTACAGTCACTAACAATCACAGATTATGTGAAAATTAATGTTTTGGAGCCAAAATAATGGTCATATCATTTTTAATTAAAAAAGTGAATTGGAGAAAAGAAAATTACTAAAAATTCTTGGAAAATCTTATACCTATAGTTTTCCGAGGTCTGAACTGAATATTTATAAGCGTATCATTTTATAAGTTTTCGAGGGTATACATTACGAATTAATTATGTGTTTAATATTTTTCAGAAAAATCAGTTTTCTTTGAATTTAAATTTGATGATAATAAGAAAGGAATTTTCTAGAGCTGCAAGGTATAATAAAAAAAAAATTATATCAATATAATTTTTTTTTATTTATTTATAATTAAAAAACCTTTTTTATTTATTATTTTTAACAATTTTTTATGGACTTTCATATCTTGGTTTATTATGTAAAACTGCTTCATCGCTGTCGCAAAAAAATTTAAAAGAATACGGATTTTTCTGGAAAATATTAAAAAGCGTATAATTAATTCGTAATGTACACTCTCGAAAACCTATAAAATGCTTAATGCTAGTATTCAAACCTCGGAAAACTATATAAGATTTTCCAAGAATTTTCCGCAATTTTCTTTTCTCTAATTCACTTTTGTTATTTAAAAATGAATTGACCATTACTACCAAAACATTACTTTTCACATAATCTGTAATTCTTTTAAGAAATATACGGGGGCAATTTTGTAGAAAATTTAATTTCGAACAACTTTTATTTGAAACTTTTTTTTCGAAAAAATGCATTGTTTTTGGTCAAAATACGAGAAAAATCATATAATTTACATCTATATCTCAAAACGCTATATGTTGCTAGTGGTTGCGTGTGTGACATATGTTTTCTGACCTCGAAAACCTACACTTTTCTATAAAAAAAATCTCAGAATCTCTTATTCCATTATTTTTATCTTTAACTTTCCTGAAATATAAACAATTTGGTTAAAAACTAATTAGCTACTTTTTTATTTTAAAAATTTTAATTCAAACCGTCATTGTGGCATACAAGACTATGGATGTTGTTACTTGGAAAACTTCACAAAAAATAAAACAATGCAGCGCAGATTTTTTTATCTCATCATTTTATTTCATTTTCTGTTAATATCTGAAAAATTGGAAAACACTTCATTTCCTTAAAAAATCGTAGGTACTTTACTATTTGTTAGTTTTTTTTCTTTGGATCTGCATTAGGTCAGAATGGATAAGTGAAAGTCACTACTACATTTCGTCTTGATTCGTCGTTTTTAATACATCTTCTAGACTCTATATGGTGGCTTTTAAGTAAAAAATATGAAATTTTACACAATATGTATATTTAAAGATAAAACTTCTCCCTTAAAGGAAAATTCATCATTAAAATTGAAAAATTAGTATTATAAATTTTATATTTATATGTCGTACGTAAAATGACAATTTTTTTACCCCTAAAATGCAACATGCTCAATAATAATGAAACGCCGACAAAATATGATAGTGGTTTTTAGTTGTAATTCTTCAGTTCCAAATAAGAAATTTTAAAAATATGACTATAAATTAATCGGAACGCTGTAACTTTTGTAAAAATCTAACAACACCGATAACAACAGTTCTATAAAAAAATTTATGTGTAATTTTTATTTAGAAGAATTTTATAACAATATAATAACGAAACGTGGAAAAAATTCACTGTAGCAAAGACAAGAACCATATATTTCGTTAAATTCATTTATGTATGAGAAAATGAATAATATTTGCAGTAAAATAGTTCTTTTACATCTACTTTATTTTGCAATACACATGTTAAAGATTTATTTAAAAATGCGATCATCCTTCATCATATCCACACCATATCCACACCATGTGGATTTTATTTAATACTATATGCATCATAACTACAAGAAAGTGTTTATTATAGAACCAAAAAGCTCTAAAACCGTAGGTTTTTAAAATATACATGTTGAAGTTTAAAAATATCTCACATATATTTCTGGATATGTTTGATTGTAGATATATTAAACTTGGGGCATTGATGAATAAGCATCCCAGAGGTTCGACGCCACTGAATATTTTGAAAATGCGACAAATGCGTTTACTTGATAATCACATTTCTATGGAAAAACATGTTCAATTTATTTTACGAGCCATTTTCCTGTCATCATTTTTTTTATTTTAAAATAAGCTTATCACACAGCTAATATCTTCAAAATTATTCATTCTTGACAAAAAAGTTTTCTATTGGAAATCTAATTTTAAATAATAGTGTAAAATATTTAAAGTTTCTACGTCAATAATAGAGAGGTTGGAAAAGTTTGGGATAGTGTTTTGCGATGTAATTTTTCGCGCTAATTCCAAATTTGATTGTAAAATTGCTCCCTAAGTCAGGATTTTGAGACATTCAAACGTAAAGTATAAAAAGTTATTTTGACATGTTTCTGATACTTTTTTAGTCAATTACGTATATGCTACTTTAAAGAACTTTTTCTTTAATTTCTGTTTTGGATTTGGATACAACCTTTTTTTTTCTCAAAGATATTACTAATTAAAATTTTATTAATTTCAGTATGTAATTAATTACCGTCAATCAATTGCTAAAATGCTAAACTTTCTAATTCGTGAATGCGAATTCCCTCATCTCTCACGATTTAAGTGCTCGATTAACGTAAATAATAACTAGACCCAACATTGTATTTCGAATACAAAATTCCTATATACATTTTTTTTGTGAAACGTACAAAGATACTTTAAATTTATTTCACTGCGTGATAAACTTACCTTTAATTTAAAGAATATATACCGAAAACTCTTTAAAATAAAGTGGAAAATATAACTTTTCTTAGAAACAGCATTAATAATTGGTAGCATTTATCCAACTTCCAAAATATTCCGTTATATAGAAATCCTGAAGATCTTAGTTACAGTGCTTCCCACTTGTATATAAGTTGAATGAATTTTTGTCTTTAACTAATTATATCATTGACCCACGAATAATAATCAATCATATAACATTTTCAATTATATTTGCGTAAACATGACAGCCAGGAACAGCTAATTGAAGTTATGACATAGTTTGGTAAACAACCTCTTTCTGCAAAATTCCATATTAAAAAAAAATAGAGTCACAGAATTCCATCTAGAATATCATATTTTTAAAAGATTAAGTTTTCATTTGTGGTCTATATCATACCTTCAAGCTGCAAACTACAAGCTCTTAAGATTATAACACATTTTTCGTAACATTTTATGTAGTACTAACGCAAAAATGTCCCACAGACCCAATCCGCCGAACTCATCGCTTCCGCCCCAGTTGTATCAACCGTGGTGAAGTCCATATCTCCAATAGTCCCAGCTGCCCAATTGGTAGCTGCTCCAGTAATAACTGCCGCCCCACTTGCAGCTGTAAAATCGGCAGTTGTAGTCGAACCCGCCCAACCTTCTGCAGAACTTTCCACTGAAGCACCCAGTACGCCTGCACCTGTTGAAGATGTATCCGTTGCTGCACCAGAAGCGAAATCCGCCGATGCATCAGCTCCGGCTGCAACTCCAGCTGGAGTCTCTGTTCTGTCAACCCCAGCGATTGGCGTCAGGTCCCTCGTGACCCCAGCCTTGCCCGTTGGGGTAGCTCCTCTAGTTCCAGCTCCTGCGGCGTACTCCATCAACGCATTGCATCCATTTGGATTCAGTTCAATTGTAGCTCAGCCCGCTCTTACGACGTATTCGGCTCAAATTTTAACTTCCGTACCTGGATCTGTCGTACAAACCAGCGAAACTTCGTCACCAGCCAAAAATCCTGAACAGAGCAGTGAATAATTTTGTTTCGACTTCGAATTTAGTATAATTAGATAAGTTTTTTTATAAATAAAGTTCACTATATATCGGTTGTTTCATTTCTTGGCAGTAAAAGGGAATGGTTTCAAAATCAGTATCTAGAGACATAAATAAAATAACAGTATAAAATAAGAACATTTCGTTTACGAGATATTGGGTATTGAAATTAGCAAAAATATCATATTTTCTGAAATACCCTTGAGAATGTTTAACATGGATTGATAAAACTTATGGCTTATTCAATTTAAAAATACTTAACTTACAAATGCGATGAACAGTGGTAGCGGAAGGGGGGGGGGGGTCAATATCATTAAGAACCTCAAACCTTACATCCAAAGTAGTGTTGATGCTAATGCAGCCCTAAGAACCCCACAGTCACGCCACTGAATAGTTTGTAAATCGGATAAGTGCATTTAATTCTATTGGTTTTCTAAGAAAAAAGTTACAGACCGCCACAAATAAGTTTACGTCTGAGACAGCTTCACCAGACATGCGCAACTGTGCCTGAGTCAGAAACGCAGACTTATTTGTGTCGGTTTTCTGTTCAATAAACAAGCTATTTTTGAGTAATTATTTTTTTTTAAATTTAAAATAAACCTTCTACACAATTAAATAAATGGAAATTAACTCAAAAATTATTCGTTTGACAAATGTACGTAGTAACCACATTGGAAACTGAAAAAATCATTGACGTGGTATTTTTGTATTTTTCATAATTAGGTATATATTTAATTTCTAACAAAAAATTCTTATATTTTTTTTTTGTGAAACGAAAAGTTTTGGAGTTATTTTAGATTTATTCATCTATGTAAAAAGATTACTTCAAATTTAAGAAAATAATTACTAAAAAAATCCACATCTTTTTTCTTAGAAACATTGGTAATTAAATCATATTACTCTGTGTATAGGGCATTACAAATAACATATGTCATCGTGCAAGAGAAAGTCCCTCGTAAAAAAAAACTGCTGGTTTATATCTAAAGTAACAGCGTCAAAGTTTGCCTATTCGGTTTTTTCAAAATATTTCTGAAATTATTAAAAAATAATTAAATTACACAAAGTATTTTAAAAGTTATTAGAAAAATCGATTGGGGGGGGGGCTAGGGAAAATGTTAATATAAACTTGTTGTTATTTTAACGTCCCTGTATAAACCCGAGAGATTGTCCACAAATTCTGGGACACTCTGTATAAAATACTAAAACTGTTTCGAAAAAAAAAATAAATAAAGAACTAACATCCCGTACCTCAGAAGCAAAGTAAGAACGGATCTATGGTCATAAGAGTTCTTTGTTTTACTTTTTAATGAAGAATCTTGCAATCAGCATCGGAAAATATGTTTTAAAACATGTTCTTTCTAAATTTAGTTCCATTAACATTCTGTAATTATCTTTAGGAACATGATTGATGTTTTATTACCTACATATTGTTTCACATTATGTTAAGTGGTCAAATCGATTCATTTCCCAAATTTTATAAAATATATACTTATTTCACACACTGTACAGTCGGAGCTCAATATATGACAAGGCATTGTTCCAACTTATTTAACGGAGCCAAATTAAATGACACATCCAAAATGTAATAAAGCGGTACAATAATTTGCACTTATAACGGTTCAGTCTGGACCACTTTTATCCTTTTTTTAGTCAAGGTAAATTTGTTACGTGTGCACCGCACGTTACTAGATTGATGCAGATATTTTCCAGAAAATGTCAAAATGTCAGCAGTCAATGTTAAAGAATAACATATGGTGGCAAACATTACAGAATGTACCTAACAAGAGGCATTAGTACCTATTATAATTTTGTAATATAATTTTCTTTAAAAAAATGTATCGTAATAGATTTATAGACATTTGTATCAAACGTTAAAGTGTTCCTATTATTGGCAATAATATAGATTTTTTTTATACGTTTTTAAACGTGGTCAAGTTGGTTCTGAAAATTTGGACGTAGGGCGTAGCGTATAGCAAATGAACTTAAACGTTATCTGTCAAAGCGCTATATCGCCGCTATCAATTTGAATATTTTCGTTTTAAAAAGCGTTTAAAATGGTGTTTTCTCAAGAACAAAAAGTGTTTATCATAGAGTCCTACTTTAGAAATGGACGCAAGATTGATGGAATATGGAAGTATTCTATTGAGGAATGTTTCATAGAATTTCAAAATCAATTTCCCGGCGTTGTTGAGTACAAAATTTTTCAAAGTGCAGTTCAGCGTTGTGTTAATGTTTTTCGTGAAACGGGCAGTGTAACAAGAAAAGAAGGAAGCGGCCGACCTAAAAAGCGGACTGAAGAATTAAAAGAAAATGTCCAACAAATAATGGAAAATGCGCCAAGAACTTCTGTACGTGTTTTATCACAAATGGTGGGAGTATCAGTCGGTACCTGCCACACAGTGTTAAAAAAAGATTTGCGTTTGTTCTCCTATCGTTTAACTTGTCAGCAAAAACTTCATGAAGTTGATTTTCCGCGACGGGCTGTATTTTGTGAATGGTTTTTAAACAACTACGGTGAACTTCATATCACCTTTTTTTCTGATGAAGCCTGGTTTAATTTCACTTTCCGCAGCTCCTTTAATTGTTTGTTATTGTTATCACGATTATTCTTGAAAATAAAGTTATATAGTCATTAACGTTATTGAAACTGACTTATTTGAACGCTCGTTACATCTAACATGATTTTTCAGAAACCTTATGGAATTGTAAAATTTTTAATACTCTTTAATTTTTGCTCACGACACTTCGTTTTCAATCAAAAATCAATTATTTTACACATAAGTTAAGATATTTTTTCTATTCATAAACGTATGAAAATAACCAACAATCAACTTCATATTCAATTCAATTATAAACGTCAAACTATAATTATGTCAAATGTAAGAGAATTAATGAAATGCAGTTATACTCAAACATTTATTTTACTTTACTCGCGCTAATGAACTAAATAAAAAAAAAATACCTTAACATGGATAAATGTCGTATATAAAATAATTGCTTCTTTCTTGAAAATTAAGGGTTCTAGGATAAAAAATAAATGAAAATTGGAATATGTTCTTACCTCGCAAATGAATATTGATATGCTGTATTCAACTTTTATGAAAAAAATTTGACGTATTTGTGTGGGTTTGTTATATTCACGGACGGGGTTTCTCTTTTAAGTACCTTTAGGAGCATTTAATTAATATTTTTAGTTAACTATGGTGTACTCAAATCATATATAGCAGTTTAAAAAATGGGATAAATGAAACATTCCAAATGAACATAAATAAGTTAATAAACAATAATACAAAATAAAGTAAAAACTAGGGAGTACACCATCTACCATATTTACCATACTACTGCTAAAAAATTGTTATATTTTGGCAATGTCATGAGATATTTAAAAAATCATGAGTCCATTAGCGTACATACAAAAACCTTTGGGGGTAGAAACTTGACTACACCTCTACACCCTTAACGGTTAGAATTAAATTTTTTCTTAAAATCCAACACAAAATAAACGTATAGATACTGTTGTATATGTACAAAATATGAACAAAAAATGTTAATAAATGTCAAAGGTACATGAAAAACTTGACTTACTTATATTTAGAAAGCTAAGTCGCAATGGATGGTGTTGAAATTATTTCATTTCATCTTTAAAAATGAGCTTCTAGATTTTGTCTCCATGTCTATGTTAACTTGATATTTTTCGTGAGGTAAAACATTGCTCACGAATAAAACATCTCGAATTAAAAATGACATATTTTCTGTTCAACAGTAAAATTTATTATTTTAGTTGTTTTCATATAGCAACAGATGTCTTCAGATCCAAAATTGCATGTAGAAGATACATACATACGATAAACAAAACATTACCTCTTTTGTTTTAGTTTTTTAAGTACTACTGCATGTACAAAACGTGTTATACTGAAATTTAATTAATTTGTAAGTTCATGCAAATTTAATTAGTTTAATTTTTTAATTAAGAAAATCATTTTGATATTTTTATTTTAGTCTTCTTCGTGTCGACTTGGGTCTAATTGTTGACACCGCTTATGGTCTCATTAAAGTTTAGGCCGCGACTAGGGACAGCATGCATAGCCATCGCTTTCAGATTGAAGAACACGATTCACAAAAAGAGAACTAACGTTATAGAGTCATAAAGGTAATAAATGCAATAAATAATAATGAGTGAATAACAATAAATTAAACAAACAGCAAACAACAAAAGTCTTTAGCAAAACCTTAATAAAATCTACAACTTTTTTCACGATGATTAAACATTTGACCGTATCAATGCTGGAAAAAACGACGAATGACGTAGTTTTTGTTAGGTATAAACTGATTTTGCGGGAAGAAAGAGTCCCCATGTTTACGCGGGCGCCCTTTATTACTTTTATCAATTACAAGACTTATTTCAATTAAAATAATAATATTGATTCATGACCTTTATAAGATTTTTAATGTATAATTATTAAATAGCAAAACGCAAAAATTAAGAGGATATGTATTTCAGAGTATTTACATATGAATTAACTCTTCAACAACAATTCTTGCTGGAATTATAACAGTTTAACGTGATGCAAGTGTAGACATTTTGGTGTTCGCTGACGAGGATGTATTTATTCACATACAAAATCGCTAATATCCGGGGCCCTCCTACTGTCCACCGCGTCTGCCCTAGACCAGCTAACCAACTTTTCCACTCTTTAACAGATCTTAACCATTCTTAACACTTTACCGTAAGAAACGTAGTGTAATTGTGAGAGTATAAAACTGAAACAATGACGAAAAAGCAGCACGTCAATAGATCCCAGTCCAGAGCTCTCAGCAAACAGGACGAACTGCTACAAATACAAACCCAATACTTTCTCAAATTAGACGAAACTAAGTTGTCGATTAGTCAGAGGGTTAAGAGGTTTATTTGGAACCCGGACAACAAGCAGTTTTGTGGAAGGACAGGCGCTAGTTGGTGTAAGTCTTTAATTTGCTATAAATTTGATGCATCTTAATATTCGTTTTTATTTATTTTCACACTTTTATACAAAACTTGCAATTAACGATACAAAATTTGCTCTCTTGTTTTTCAAATTGCTTTAATATCACAAGTTATTTACAACAAATACGAAAATAACGCTTTTTTACATTTTACCCTAAGAATGTAAAAAATATGTTACATACTGCTTAAAGGCATATTAAATAATTATCAATCGATTTAATTTTTACACAAATCAATTTGACGACGACAGGCGTGAACATATTAAAACTTTGTAAAATACAGGGTGTCCCATAAATATTGCGAAAAAATTCAGGGAGAGTTTGCTTGACCAAAAATAAGAAAGAAAGTTCCTATAAACCTATGTTCGAAAATGCTTCGTTTCGGAGATACAGGGTGTTGAAATTTAGAAACAATACAAGGTTTTTACTAATATCTGGAGAACTCTAATTCCGCTTATTCTGAAATTTGGTATGTTTGTTTATAAAAACGGTAGACGTTTTCTGCCGTAATTTGATTTATTTTATCTATTCCAGCGACGCCCGGGGACTCACTTATGTTGATATTAATAAGTAAACATAGGAGACGTCACTGCTTTTTCTTAGGTGTCATATTTTTTCCTAATTATGCGATAAAAAATACAACTTTTTTGTTTTTTTACTTTTTTTGATATATTGCTTCGTTTTCGAGCAAAAAATTAATATCCTTTCATATGCACATTCTTAAGGGAAGTAGAAAACAAAAATAAAAATTCAATGTTTTAGTTATTTACTAATCAACTTTAATAATACATTTGAAGAAAAAACAATGTAACAAGCTGAGAAACAATAACTCACTAAATAATATTTTTTTAAATAATTAATATTAACAGAAACATAAGAAAAAATATTTAACAAATAGCAATGATATGAAAAATACTTTACATACACAGGCGTTACAACAGTGTTGAAAATGTACACCTTCAACTCTAATACTGGCATCTATCCTACGACACATTGATTGGCGAACCCGTTCAAATATTCCGGCTGTGTCTAATTGTTTCACAGGATGTGTCAATGCGGTTTCTTAATTCGTCTATGGTTTACACTGGAGTCGTATAAACCAAATGATGAAGGAAAAAATCCAACGAATTTAAGTCTGGAGACATCGGGGCCAGGGTTGAGTGCCTCCTCGACCTATCCAGCGAATTGGGTAGATATTGTTCAAATATTCACGTGCAGCTAAACTGAAATGGGAAGGAGCACCATCGTGCATAATATACATTTGCAACCTTAACGGCATTGGCATGTCGTCCAAAAGTACGGGCAATTCATCCTCAAGAAAACGGCGATAAACATCTCCAGTAAGCCTCGGTGGTAAAAAAAATGGGCCTATTAAGTGGTCTCCCACAATTCAGACCCATACATTAAGTGAAAACTGGTGTTGATGATGGGCTTCTAATATTGCATTTGGGTTCTCGTCCACCCATACATTATTATTATGGAAATTCATTATGACTTTTTTAGAAAAATTCGCCTCATCCGTGAATAGAACTTCTGCTAAAAATTGAGGATTTTCCCCAATTTTTTGTCGTATCCATCGACATAAATCTAATCTTAACGGAAAATCAGTCGGTAAAAGTGCCTGAACCCGTTGGATGTGATAAGGGTATAGAAGATTATTTTTTTTAAATCCTGAAAATTATAGAACGACTTGCATTTAAGTATCTAGCAATTTGTCTGGTACTTGTTGTTGGAGTATACTCAATTTCATGAAGTACATCTTCCTCCAATTGTAGGGTTATTGCTGTGCGGGGTCGCCCGTTTCCTGCGGTATGTTTTCGAAAACTTCCAGTTTCACTAAGACGTTGATGAAGACGGGTGAAGATAGTATGATGAGGAATTATACGATTAGGGGTATTTCTGCTCATAGAGGCGCCTGGCGGCTAATGCATTACCGTTGGCAAGGCCATAAAGAAAATGCATATCGCACATTTCACTATTTGTGTAATTCATTTTGACGAGCAGGAATCGACAACTACACAATTCAAGTACTTCACACACTTAAGCTATCAATTTTTTGCTCGAAAACGAAGCAAGATATCAAAAAAGTAAACAGATAAAAAAGTTGTATTTTTTATCGCATAATTAGAAAAACATATGACACCTAAGAAAAAGCAGTGACGTCTCATATGTTTACTTATTAATATCAACCGGAGTGAGTCACCGAACGCCGCTGGAATAGATAAAATAAATCAAATTACGTCAGAAGACGTCTACTGTTTTTATAAAGAAACATACCAAATTTCAAAAAAATCGGAATTAGGGTTTTCCAGATATTAATAAAAACCTTGTATTTTCTCTAAATTTCAACACCCAGGATCTCCGAAGCGAAGCATTTTCGCATTTATAGGAACTTTCTTTCTTATTGTTGGTCGAAGAAACAAGGAATTTTTTTCACAATATTAAAACAACATGTATATATTTTAAGAGGCAATTGTGTAGGCGATACGTAGTTTTCAATGTACAGTGTGTCCAAAATTGAACTCTAAGGATATGTCCGAAATGTTTAAAGATATGTAAAAGAAATTTTGCGCATGTTCCAAACTTTTTATGCCTTATGCAAAATCAGAGTTACTAACCAAAAATCATCACAGACGTGTTGAAACTGAGGCCTGTGGAATAAATCTGCCCTGCTTAGTTAAAAGGTCCTATCTATAAAATTTACTAATTTCATTCAAGACTTTTTTTCTGATTAAATACAATGTTTTCTAGCGATTCTATTTAGGTAGAAAGAAAAGTTTTAAACATGCGCCCGAAATAAAAGCTTATTCAGTTTGTGCTAAATGCAAAATTCTTCTGTTATTATACTCAGATTAAATGACCTTTGCTAAGTGAAGATCCTATCTATAATTATTTTTACATTTAGGATACTAAGACTGGAGTACCAAAGGTTGAGTGTCGTAAAATTAACCTTGGTGTAACTTTGGAGAGAAAACAAAACCTGCAGCAAGAACTTAGACCGATTATTCCGAAGAACAGATAAAAATTCTGGGAAGATTTACTAATTTCTGACCAAACTGAGGATATAGATGATTTATCAATATAAAAATTTTCAGTGCATTTATTTTACATAATTTCCACTTAGATAGATCGTTCTATCAGACGAAATACGTTTCACAGTCAATTTTTAAATAGAACTATATTTTAGCATATTTTTAAATTTTAATTTTTATTCTGTAACCATTGAACTTGTAGTAATGCGGATGGCATAGTATAAAACAGAAAAACTCAATTATCTGAAAACTGCAAATCTGTAGATAGAACGTTTTTAGTAATCAGGGCAAAAATACTGTAATATTTTTTGTATGGATATTTTTTCAGTGTTTTATTACACAAAATATAAATAGAAATTGTTGAATTTTACCTATATGCAAGACTCTGTCCTTTTCATAGAGAAAAATTTCAGGCATTGCCGTGTTACAAGTGGCAATTAGACAATTATAAGATCATTTTCATTTTAATCGGTGTTGTGTACACCAATGATTTGATGTGCCCACATAAGAAAAATTTAAATTGAGAGATCTAGGAGACCATGGCTGTGACCCACCGCTACCTATCCATTTATTATACCATTACCACATCAAATTTATTAATAATAGAGGAATATCCTTTGTGTATCTAGTTTCTAAAAATTGCAATAGGAAGTCCATCTGATCTACCGGAAATATTCAATGGTTATATGAGATGATCGCTTACAATTCCCACCCATACATTTACTGAAATCTTGAATGGAAAATGTGTTTCAATAAGGGAATGAGAATTCTCCTCATTCTATAAATGATTATTCTGAAAATGTTGTTTCAAACTTTTTAAAAGGTTTGAATCATCAGCAAACAGAAAACATTTTTCTTTCAGGATTCTCTGCAACTTCGTTTAAAACAGCTTCTTCTGTTTCTCGTATTCCCTGAAGACGATCTAATTCCTCTGACTTATTTCTTAAATCTGCAATTTTTGTGTTGGTGGCAATGTAAATTTGTAAATGATCGTGGATCGGCAACAAACCGTATATTGCTTTATTATTATTATTATTTATGGATATCATTGCTTTTGACAAAAAATGTATATCGGCCATTTTATGCAGATATTAAACTTGATTGAAACCCATTTCTAACTCCTTAATGAAGAAAATGAAATAGAATGAAGAAACTCTGTGCTAACTAAAAAAGTCAAAACAACTATAGTCATCACTACTTATCACTAAACAAAATAATATTAAAAATGCAAATAAAACTTTACCAAATTGGTAACCGATGAATCAGTAGGCATAAGAAATCATTAAGAAGAAGTTTCATGCATTCTCACGAAATATTGGCTGAAATATCTCCTTGAATCCCGTCGTTTTGAATTCCACCACAATCCTTAATGGTGTGCACGTGTCTGCCAGAATTTTAATTCTTATTCATTTCTAAATGAATTAACGCGGTAATGGACCGAATCTGGAGCCGCAGTTGGAGCTTGATCTCGGAAACAGAGTTTAACCTTCCAGTTACATCTTGAATTAAGTGGCTCTTGATTGAGTAAATACTTAATTGAGTGACGCATACTGTGGTCGTTTCTTTGAGTTACTGCGGTTTGTGTTTTATTATTACATTATGACACGCCGGAGACATGGGCAAATCTTAATTTGCTAATAGTGGAAATCTCACATTTATAAATCCATTATTGAGGAGGTGTGTGTAATGTTACATCGTGAATGACAGGGATAACGTTTACTTGATTGATACAAAAATTTCACGTTTTGTGTGGTGTAACAATAAGAAAATAGAAAAATGTTATGAATTTTAAAGATAAAACAGTATTTAAAATTACAAATGCACAAGTGTATTCTGTTTTTCAACAATCTTTCGAATTATTACTAAATATGAATTATTAGTAACAACGTTTTGTATGATAGGAATTATTTTACGGTGTTTGTGTACTATTAATTATAAAATTTA